ACTGGGGGTGAAAGTTGAGGTGGGGGCCAGGAAAGCAGGCGTGGAAGGAGGAGCTTCCTTATAGGAGGGAGGAATGAAGCCCAGGGTACCTGGTCTCCCCGATCCTGAGGAAGGTGTGGTACACTTGCAGGAAGAACTGCCTGGGGATGTTCTGCAGTCCCAGCAGGTTCTGTTCAAACACAGAGATGCTCATCAGAGGCCCTGTCCCCAGACCCAGGCAATCTGTCCCCAGCTCCCAGCCTGCCGTCCCGACCCCATCTCAGACCCTCATTCCCAGGGCCCATCTCAAATGCTCAGGGGCCATCTGCCCACTTCCAATGCCCCCCAAGCCAGGAAGTCAAAGTTACCCTTGGGGGAAACGGTACTTCACAATTTCTGGGTCAGTGATACGTTTCTCTAAATTACTTTTGTTTTTCACAAAAAACAGTATAGTTGATCCCACAGGAGGGAGACCAGTTCTACAGCTCTGAGGCCAGGAGCCCTGGGCCGCCTGACCCTGAACTCACTGGCTCGAGGCCATGCCTGCCACTTGGTGGCCAGGCCCCCTGCAATGTAGACCCTTGCTGCCATTGGCTTGAGGCCACATCTCTCACTAGATGCCCCCCAACCTCCAGCCCCGCTGCTGCCAGAAGGAAAAGGCACTTCACAGTGTGCACAGATCCGGAGGGCTCTGAGGGGCTTCAAGAAACTGGGCTGGGGAATATGCCAGCTCTCAGAGCTCCTGGGCAGAAGAAGGAGTTCTATCCTGTGCTTTAGGATTTTTTTTTTTTTCTTTAGAGAGGGATTTGGCTTGCTCTGTGGTCCAGGCTGGATTCGAACTCCTGGGCTCCAGTGATCCTCCCACCTCAGCCTCCCATGTAGCTGGGATCTATGGGGCCGCCACAGCTGTGCTTTAGTTCTTTAAGTTGCCTGAGACTCAGCAGGAGTCAGAGGGGGAGGTTGAGGCCCAGGCTCCCAGGGTTGACAGGCTCAAGGACCCTGCCCCAAAACTGTGGTCACAGGGTGGGTGGGGTTAGGACATCCGGGTGGGTGGACTCTGGGACTGCTGGGGCAGGGGCTTCTGTCCTGGAAGAGTCAGGAAGATGCCCCTCCCCCTAGATGGCTGCAGAGTCCCTGAGCGGGCCAGGGTTGACAAGTATGAAGGCATAAGGAAGGCACTCTCACACTCACACACACACACATGCTCTCACACGCACACACACACTCTCACACACACACACACACTCTTACACACACATGCTTTCCTGTCCTTGCTCTTCTCATGGTTCCTCTGTCAGGGAAGACTGTCTCAGGCCGGCCTGGAGCAGCGCCTGGCTTTGGGAAGATGATCTGCAGTGACACAGGGTGAGGAGGCAGGGTGTGCTCCTAGTCTGCCTTGACGGCTGCACGGCCCCATCAGCGGAACTGGGCTCACCTCACTCCACACACACCCAACTGAGCACCCCCTACTGCGCCTGCACGTAGCAAGAGTGCAAAAAGTGTCTGCTACTTTATTCACACCCATACACACACACCAGTGCTGGGTGGCCATGGCTGGGAGCAGAACAGTTCCTGTCCTTGAGGAACTTACAACCCAGCAAAAAACAGAATAAATTACATTCTCAGCTGATGACTGATCTTAATACATCTTATAGATGTTTTAAAAGTAAATATAAAAAGCATGGCATTTAAAAAATATTAAATAGAAACCAGGAAAAAAAAAAAAGCATACAACAAAACCACCTAGCTAAATTAACATGGGGAAATCATTTGTTTGTAGAAATTGTAGCAGCATGCTTGTGACCGCTGGGGCCCGCTGGGTGTGCCCAGTGCAGGGAGAACGGAGCCACGTCAAGCACACCACACAGAAACTCGGGCAAGAGCCGGGAGAGGGGGGTGGAATTACTGGTGCCCCCAGTTACCCGCTGTAAAATCCAGCCATCATGAGACAGCCCTCCCTGGAGGGTCGTTTTATTAAGAGGGGACCCATGAGAGCACTGTGTGCTTCTTGACCCACAGGAGACAATCTGAAACAGCATGACGTCCACTGACCACAGGGATCAGGCCGGGCCTTGGTCCTGCTCCCAGCTATCCCTGTGCCAATGAGAAGTGCCCTGGGTGGGCGCTGGGCCTACCTTGATCTGTCCAAAGCCGATGGTGACGGTGGCAGCAGAGGTGAAGCCTTTAATGACGGGGCAGGAAATGAAGTCCAGCAGGAACCCTGGCCAGCCAAGAGGGGACACCGAGCTGGTCCCAGCTCAACCCAGTCCCAGAGGATGAGGGTATGTGTGAGCTGGGAGGGGTGGGAAGGGTGCGATTGGGGAGCAGACGCTACAGCTAAAAAGGGGTGGGTGACACACCCTGCCTGGCTGTCTTTGGAGAGCAGAAAAGGGAGACTAGGGTCTGAGGCCATAGCTCCTGGCCTCTCAGCAGAAAAGAGTAGACCAAGGGGCCAGGCCCCCACCCCCTCCACCCAGCCACCCACCTATACACGCACACACATACTCACACCCTGCCCCCAACACACACGGGGATAGACCTTGAAATGCGAACAAGGAAATGCTGAGGTCAAGGGCATCCCCTTGGCAAGAAGATCGAGCCTCACCCAAATGTAGGACCCCCATGACCAGCTGGATGCAGCCAGACAGGAAAGCCAGCAGCACAGCATAGGCGGGCTCGTGGAAGGTGTAGAAAGAGACCAGGAGGGACATGATGGCAGTGGGGCCCAGAGTCACGTCCCGGGAGGTACCCAGGAAGAAATACACGAAGCAGCCCATGAAGGCAGAGTAGAGGCCATACTGTGGAGAGAGACAGCGGTGAGCACCCAGGAGGCCGAGGCCAGCCCACCATGTCCCCAGTGTGTGTGTGCATGCACGGGAAGTGTGGGTATCAGCTGTGTCCTGGACACACGAGCATGCACAGGGGAGACATGCACCACCCTACGCTGCAGGGGGGCCTGCAGTGATCAGGAGGCCACTCTTTTAGCAGCACCCAACCGGGGCCTCAGGGTGCAGACAGCCGGACAAAGGGGTTGGTGCAGGCCTGTATGCTGCGCCCGAGTCTAAGAATGCATTCTTTTTTTTTTTTTTTAAAGGCAGTTTTGCTCTTGTTGTCCAGGCTAGAGTCTAATGGTGTGATCTTGGCTCACCTCCGCCTCCAGGGTTCAAGTGATTCTCCTGCCTCAGCCTCCCAAGTAGCTGGGATTACAGGCGCCCAGCTAATTTTTTGTATTTTTAGTGGAGAGGGGCTTTCACCATATTGGCCAGGCTGGTCTTGAACTCCTGACCTCAGGTGATCCACCCACTTCGGCCTCCCAAAGTGCTGAGATTATGGGTGTGAGCCATGGCACCCGGCCTGAGGAAGCAGTCTTAAGGCCTCCTCCGTGAGTCACCTCGGTGGTCCCTCCACAACCAGCTCAGTGTCCGTGTGTGCCACACAGGCACAGGAGCCTGGGTCAGCCCAGAGACAGTCATGTGTTATACACTGTAAACCGAAGGTTCCTTGGGGCCCAGGGGTGGAAACCCGGGATGGCTGATGCTGTCTGGGATTGATGCTGTGTATCTCCACATTGCTTCTGAGATGGGGCTGGCAGCAGAGTCAGACACCTCACCTGGGGCGGGAGTCCAGCCACTTCAGCATAAGCCAGTGCCTGGGGAACGACAGTGAGGCCCACGGAGAGTCCGGCGATGAAATCCATCTTCAGCCACTGCAGGGAGTAGTTGGGCAGCCATGCCAGGATGGGCAGCCTCCTCTGCATGGCCGCGGGGGAGCAGCAGCAGGTGTTCGGGGCCATCCCGGGGCTGGAAAACCTGGCCTGACCCAGCACTGAAGAGGGCATCTTCTTCAGTGGGGCTGTGGATGCAGGTGACATAGACCAGCAGTCAGAGCGTGGCCTTCGAAGAACCCAGCCACACCGGTCAGAGTCGGCCGGGGCCAGGAGGGGTCACTCTGGGTCTCCCCTCCCCAGGGGCACTAAGCCAGACGGGTCTGAGAGGAAGCCAACAAAGTGTGCAAGAGCCAAACCGGGCCAAGACCGGAGCTCCCCCCCATCCCCTCATCACCCACTTTCCCTGAATCCCCCTGCGCAAATCCTGGGTGCTTTCTGTCCCTCCATTCTCAACCCTCCCAGATGAGAAACTGCTCAGCGATTTCTTAATGAGAAGTCTGAAGACTAATTAGGCTCACACTTCTCGCTCCTGGAGAACTGGCTTCCTTTTCCTTTCTTCCCCTTCACCCCAGGGAATTTAACGGGGAGCAGCCTAGAGCCGCGGGGGCACACTAGGCTGGCGGGGGTGCCGGCGGCGGCCGGGAGGGGATCCCAGGTTTTCCAACTGCGCACCAATGCGGGCTCCATCCACTACGGTGGACTGCGGCGCTGGCGGGGGGGTCCTCCCTCCTGACACCACGACTCGCTCAGCCCCCACCTGTGGCATTCACGCCCTGGAGTTCTAGTTGCTTCTAGGAGGACGTCAGAGGCGCCCAGTTAATTCAGGTGCGCAGCATCCTCCAGGGCCCGGCGCCCGCGCACAGAGCCGCCCCCCAGGTCCCCGGACGCCCCGCTCCGGCCAAAATCCACTCCCCAACCCCCGTCCCCGCCCACGAGGCCGCTGGCTCCGGATCCTGGGCCCTCCGGCGGGGATCCCGCGCCACCTGACAGTCCGCAGTCCCTAGGCCCCGAGCAAAGCTGAGGGCCACGGGGACCCGGGTGAGGAGGCGGCAGGGGGGTGGTCCCCGGGGGAGGCGCCCGCGCTTTCGGGCTCTGCGCTGCTCCCCGCGTCGGCTGCCCCGGCGACCCTGGCCACTGTCCGCACCACCCGCCCCTGGTCCCCGCCCGCCGCCCTCGCGGGCCACGGACTCACCCACCCGGCACCGCAGCTCGGGGTCTCCTGGCGTCGCCGCAGCCGGGTCCGCAGGAATCACCCGGGCCGGGCCGGGGCGGGGTCTGGGGCGCACGTGACTGGGGCGGGGCCGGGGCGGGGCCGAGCGAGGCCGGGGCGGGGCCGGGGCGGGGCCGGGGCGGGGCCGAGCGGGAGACCAGAGCCCGCGCGGAAGCCGCAGCCGCAGCCGCAGCCGCCATGCGCAGCCCCGGGCCCGCCTGCTGCGCGCTGCTGCTGGTCCTGGGGCTCTGCCGGGCGCGCCCCCGGAACGCACTGCTGCTGCTCGGTGAGTGCTGGCGCCGCCCTCCCACGCCCACCTGCCGCGGCCCGCGGAAGTGGCCACTGGCCTCCTCCCTACCCGTGGCCAGTGCTGACCCTGCTGTGCCCTGCCCTTGTATCCCCTTGCCATTCCCTCCTGCCCACCCCTCTGTGCTGCCCTCAGACTCCAAATGGGTGTCTCCCCAGAGAGGGCAGCGAGGGGTGGAGGGGTGAGCCCCAGCATCCAGCCCCGCTACCTTACCTCCTGCCGCCTGTCCCCACCCGCCTCTGACCCTGCCCAGCCAGGGCCCAGGGGTCCACGGATCCCAGATCCCTCTCGGGAGGGGATTCCCGAGGAGGAGCTGGTGCTCAAGTCCCCAGAGACTGCAGACAGGATGCCCTCCTGGCTCTCATCTCCTCCCCAATGTAATCTTTTCCGACCCCAGAGGCTGTGGTTCAGCTGCCTTTTCCCTTGTCCGAGGGCACAGCCCTCCACCACCCCCCACCACCGTCTCCCCCAATCCCAGTCCCTCTGAGAAGCCCCAAGTTCCTCTCGGGCAAGCACTGTGCTGCTCACAAGACTTCCGGTTTGGGTAATCAAACCCTGGCCCGTGACAAGTGACAAGGCCAAACCCAAGGCCTGTGATTCTTTCCCCTTCTGAGGTCTGGCACGCTGCCAGGTGCCCTCTTTCTGATTAACTTTGTGGTCTCTGGGCGGGGGTTCGGCTCACTGTAACATAAACAGCTCTCCTGCCAACACCTCACCTCCCAGAAACACAGCGGAGAATCTGCCTGGACCCTCATCTTCGGATGGGATTCCCACTGGAGGCCCTCAGAGCCCCCGCCATGCAGCCCCTGCGCTAGGGCCGGTCTTAGCACGGACTGCCACAGGTTGGCTTAAACAACAGAAATGTATTTCTCGCAATTCTGCAGGCTGAGAATCCAGGGTCAGGGGCCAGCTTGGTTGGGTTCCACTGAGGGTCCACTTTCGGCTTGAGGTGATCATCCTTTCACTGTTTCCTCACATGACAAGCGGGAGGGGGGTCTCACTTCCTTTTCATTTCTCTTTCTTTCTTTTCTCTCTCTCTTTTCTTTCTTTTTTTCTCTTTCTTTCCACTTTCTTTTCTTTTCCTTTTTCTTTCTTTTCTTTCTTTTTGTGAGAGTCTCACTCTATCACCCAGGCTGGAGTGCAGCAGCATAATCTTGGCTCACTGCAGCCTCAACCTCCCAGGCTCAAGTGATCTTCCTGCCTCAGCCTCCCAAGTAGCTGGGACCACAGGTGCACACCCAGGTGCGTGCCCAGTTAATTTTTGTATTTTTTGTAGAGACAAAGTCTCACTGTGTTGCCCAGGCTAGTCTCGAACTCCTGGGCTGAAGCGATCTTCCTGCCTCGGCCTCCCAGGTGCTGGGATTACAGGCATGAAACATGGCACCCGGCCCTCTCTCTCTTTTCTTGTAAGGCAACAGTCCTGTCAGATCGGGGTCCCATCCTTATGACCTCATTTAACCTTAATTAAGGACCATGTCTCCAGATAGAATCATGTTGGTGTTAGGGCTTCAGCGCATGAATTCTGGGAGGACACAGTTCTGTCCATAGCAGGCCCACAGCCAAGTGCCAAGACACCCTGGGTTTGCAGAAGGGCAGCTTTCCTTCTGGGCTGCAGGAAGGGAGCACAGCAGCCTGCTCTCGCTCCAGGCTTACCTGGCTGCCATGCGCTCACACCCCGTGGGTGCTGTGGGGCGGAGGAGGGGAGCTCAGGTGGAGGATTTGAGCCCAGCTTGAAGCTGTGCAGCCTCCTCTGCCATGGACCGCATTGCCTCTGAGGGAGCTGGGGGAAGGTGTTGGTCCTGGGGGTTTCCACCAGCCTCTCCTCGGGTGCCCCCAATGTTGTCTACCCCAGAGCAGGGGAAGAAGCGTGGTGTGGTTGTAGAAGCTCAGAGCCCTGTACCTCACCTTTCTGGGTCTCAGCTGTTTCGTGTAAAGTGAAAGGGTTGAACTACACAATCTGAAGGTTTCTTGGCCTTTGAGATGGCATCAGTGAGAAGCAGCGGTGGGGCACACACACGGATCCTTAGACACGTGCTGGGCGAGGCTCTCCTGCCCTGTGCCCAAGGCAGTGTCTGCAGAGCCCGGAATTGCCCAGCAGTGTGCTGTGGCCATGCATTCGGCCACTGTCTGCCTAAATGCCTAGCCGGGTAACATGCCCACCAAGGTGGCATGCCTGCTGGGCTATCATCAAACTTGTTGGGGTATGAAGCCTGCCCATGATGACCACTTGGTTACCATGCCTGCCTGCTCTCATACCCATCCAGGTGCCAGGCCTGCTGGGTACCAGCCCACTGGGTATCAGGCATGCTTGGGGTATCATCAAGCTTGTTGGGGTATGATGCCTGCTTATCATGCCCACTTAGATACCATTTCTGCCTGCCAACATATCCCCCGGGTATCAGGCGTGCCTGGGTACCATGTTCACCTGCTACACCTACCATCTATCAGTCCAGCCTACATACCCTGCTCACCTGCTAACAACCCACCAAGTATCATGCCTACTGGGTACCATGCCCACTTGCTAATATGCCCACTGGGTATCGTGCCCACTAAGTACCATGCCTGCTTGCTAATATACCCAGTAGGTAGGGGGCCTTCCTATACATGCCTGCCTGCTAACATGCCCACTGGTATCAGACCTGCTGTCATGCCCTCTGGTATCATGCTTGCCTGCTGTACCCCCTCAGGTGTCATGCCTCCTAGGTAATGAAGCACTCTGTCACGATAGCGTTTGTGTTGAGTCAGTACCATGCCCATGTGGGTAACTTGCCTCCTGGCATCACAGCCCCGGCCTCCCTCACTCCTGGCGCTGTTTCTCGTGACCCCTTACACCACGTGCTGTCTCCCACCTTACACAGCAGATGATGGCGGCTTCGAGAGTGGCGCGTACAACAACAGCGCCATCGCCACCCCGCACCTGGACGCCTTGGCCCGCCGCAGCCTCCTCTTCCGCAACGCCTTCACCTCCGTCAGCAGCTGCTCTCCCAGCCGTGCCAGCCTCCTTACTGGCCTGCCCCAGGTGAGGTGCAAGAGGCAGGAGGAGGGGGTGGGCCGGGAGTAGACAGGCTGCGTCTGGGGCCCAGGCCTCTGCCACGTCTCCCATCCCTGGGCTCCCTGAGGGGGGGTTGCCCACTTCCCTCCCACCTCCAGGAGGAGGCACAGCCGCTGGCCGTGAGTGCAAACTGGGGCTCCGACTCCCACCTGCCAGCCCTGTCTTCCCTGCTCTGTTTGGCCTCGAGCCAGTGACCTACCTCCTGTGCCTCAGTTTTCTCATCTGTAAGATGGGGGTATCGTGGGGACTGGCAGGGTTGATGCTTCGTATGTAAGCACTTAGCGTGAGGCCTGGTGTGCTTACTCAGTGTGAACTGCCATTGTGACAGTGTCCCAGGAGCGCTATGTGCAGGGACCTGCTGCCATTAGGCACGCACGCTCCTATTTCATGGTGGTAAAATGCACACACATCAGCGTTCCCAGCTTAGCCGTTTTCCAGTACATGTTCCATGGCATTAAGCTCATTCACAGTGCCGTGCAGCCATCACCCCATCCATCCATCTCCAGAAGTTTCCCATCTTCCCAAACACAAGCTCTGTCCCCACGAAACACCAGCTCCACATTCTCCCTTCCCGTCCCCTGCCGACCAACACTCTCCCTCTGTCTTTATGAATCTGACTGCTCCAGGGGCACACAGGACTGGAATCACACAGGACTAGCCCTTTTATGTCTTGTTTTTTGAGTTGGAGTCTCACTGTGGCACCAGGCTGGAGTGCAGTGGCGTGATCTTAGTTCACTGCAGCCTCTGCCTCCTGGGCTCCAGCAATTCTTCTGCCTCAGCCTCCTGAGTAGCTGAGATTACAGGCACACACCTCCACGCCTGGCTAATTTTTGTATTTTTAGTAGAGACAGGGCTTCTCCATGTTGGCCAGGCTGGTCTCATACCCCTGACCTCAATTGATCAGCCCTCCTCAGCCTCCCAAAGTGCTGGTATTACAGGCATGAGCCACGGCACCAGCCAATGGGCACTTACTTTTGGTTTCTTACCTTGTGATCTTAGCTTATTGTAAGCGAAGTGCTGTCTCCATCTGAGGCTGAGGCTGAGTGGAGGGCCAGGGTGGGGAGGTCACAGGCACAGATGCAGATGCTTCCTGAGAGGCTCATCTGGACACAGGTGTGCCCACTTCCGGCAGTGGGCCACGGGACTAGGAGGGGCTCCTCCTTCTTGCCTGATACCTCCCTAGGCAGTCTGAGTTTTTTAAATATACAGTTTGTTTTACAGTATAAAATAACTAGGTAATAAACAAGGCCTGGCCCTGTCTTTTTCACTCTGTGATGTGTCGTAACAGAAGAGCTGAGAAGTGCAGATGCGCAAAATGAACATCCGGGCCACCTCACGCCGCTGCACGCCCTCCAGGACCCCTTCTTCCTTGCGAAGTCCTCCTTTCGAGGGAGGGACCCATGAGCCTCTCAGGCAGGGAGTGGGAGGGGGACCCGGGCTCTCTGGGTTCTGGTCACTTGAAGTCTAAATTGGGGGCCCTGAGAAGGCCCCTGGTGATGGGAGGGCTGTGAGGACAGTGCGGCTGGTGGGGCCCTGGACCTCATGCATCTTTCCGGCAGCATCAGAACGGGATGTACGGGCTGCACCAGGACGTGCACCACTTCAACTCCTTCGACAGGGTGCGGAGCCTGCCACTGCTGCTCAGCCAGGCCGGTGTGCGCACAGGTGAGGACGCTGTGCTGAGGGCAGGGCGCAGGGTGAGGCACAGAGGCCCGGCCGGAGCGCATGAGGTTCAGTGCCCTGTCCCAAGGCACCCTAAGCCCCTGTGGCCTGCCCTTAGCTCTTGTCCCGAAGGACCTGGGCCTGGTTGTGCGTCCTGGCTGGGCTGTGAGTCTGTGAGAACCCACAGTGCGCTTAGGTCTGAGCGGGCAAGGACGGGAGCAGGGGGGTTGGGAGGCTGAAGGGACTCTGGACAGGCCTCTCTTCCCACCCAGGCATCATCGGGAAGAAGCACGTGGGGCCGGAGACCGTGTACCCGTTTGACTTTGCTTACACCGAGGAGAACAGCTCCGTCCTCCAGGTGGGGCGGAACATCACAAGAATTAAGCTGCTCGTCCGGAAATTCCTGCAGACTCGGGACCACCGGTACGAGGCGGGGCCCCTGCCCTTCCCCTGGCGGCTGGCCCCACCGCACAGCCGAGTCTTCAGGCGGGATGCATGGGTCCCCATGTGGCTGGAGTTGGGGCAGGGGAGAAGGTTCTGGGTACTCAAGTTAGTCTGGTCAGGAGGAGAAGGGATGTGGGGAAACTGAGGCAGTGAGGGTCATAGGTTGATGTCCAGATACAGAGGAGGAGGCAGAGCGGAGGGGCTTCCTGTGCCAGGCAGCACTGGCCCTGCAGCCTTGGCAATGAGCCTTCTCCCGTGCAGGCCTTTCTTCCTCTATGTCGCCTTCCACGACCCCCACCGCTGTGGGCACTCCCAGCCCCAGTACGGAGCCTTTTGTGAGAAGTTTGGCAATGGAGAGAGCGGCATGGGTCGCATCCCAGACTGGACCCCACAGGCCTATGACCCACAGGACGTGCTGGTAGGAAGGACGCCCCTCAGCCCTGGGTCAGGGATGCGGCCCTCCCGTGAGCTTGTAGCTCTGGCCCTAGGTGAGGAAGAAAGATGCTCTAACCAAATTGGATTCAGGTTCCCATCCTCGGGGCCACAGAGAGAACCGTAGAGAGACAGGGTGGTCCAGAGTGAGGCTTTTCTGGGCTAATCCATTCACAGGAGGCCTGGGGAGAAGGCTGGGTGCCACCCCCCAGTCAGTCTGTTCTAAGCCTGGCTCCCCTCCACCTGCCACAGGTGCCTTACTTCGTCCCCAACACCCCGGCAGCCCGAGCCGACCTGGCTGCTCAATACACCACCATCGGCCGCATGGACCAAGGTGGGCTTGCGGAACTGGGCACTCAGGGGTGGGGCCACAGCCTGGGTCCCCCATCCTGGGCCAACACCCTCTCAGTCAGGTCACAGCAGAGTGTGGGTGAGGGTCTCAGGGTGGCAGGCCCTGTGCAGCGGCAGGTGGAGCCCACATTGAGAGGAGGGGTCTGCAGGTGGCATGGGGACCCACCCCGGGGCTGCCCTGACGTGGAGCTGCTGCTGGGCTGGGACCTTAGGGTGCCGCAGAGGTTGGTTGGGTGAAGACTCCAGATACTTCCAACAACAGGACCTGGGTCGGATGTGGGGTCTGGAGTTCCCTAGCTTATGCAGATGGAGAACTTGGGGCATGTGAGTTTTTTGTGGCTGCCCTAAAAAGTACCACAAACTGGATGGCTTACAACAACCGAAGTTTGTCCTCTCACAGTTCTGGAGGCCACAAGTTTGAAATCAAGGTGTCAGCATGGCCACGCTCCCCTGAAGGTCTAGGGGAGACCCCTACCTTTCCTCCTGCAGCCTCTGGGGGCTGCGGCAGTGCTCAATGTTCTGGGCTGGCGGCAGCATCGCCCCCATCTCTGTTTAAACCTTCACACACCTTTTTCCTGCCTCCTCTCCTGCCCGTGTCTCCTCTCCTGCCCATGTCTCCTCTTCTTATGAGGACCCCGTCATTGGATTTAGGGCCTGGCTGGGCACTTCAGGATGATCTTCTCCCAGGATCTTTATCTGCAAAGTGCCCCTTTCCAAACAAGGTCCCCTTCACAGACTCCAGCACACATGTCTTTTGGGGCCAGGGTCACCAACCCACAACTGGAGGTTGGGACCTCTGCCATTTCCCTGTTGGTGCCACTAATTCTTGGTGATCTGGGAAGGAGTGGGTGTAGAGGAAAGCCTGTCTTCTGGCCCCTGCCCTATTTGCTCCATGGGACAGACATGAGATTCCAGAGAACCCAGAAGCTGGTGGGCAGCAGGGAGCAGGTGCCTGGGGATGACGCTGAAGTGCCAAGGGAAGGCTAGAGTCCCTGGAGTTCCATTCGAGGCCTGCTGAGAGACGGGCAGCTCGGCGGAGCCGGGCAAGAGCCAGGGCTGGTGGGAAGAACAGGAGTGCTTTCAAATCCAGAAAGCACTGGGGCCCAGGGACTCCGCGTGTGTCTGCGGCTGAGCTCTGCTCTCCTGCCCCTCACTGCAGGAGTTGGGCTTGTGCTCCAGGAGCTGCGTGACGCAGGTGTCCTGAATGACACACTGGTGATCTTCACATCCGACAATGGGATCCCCTTCCCCAGTGGCAGGACCAACCTATACTGGCCGGGCGCCGCTGAGCCCTTCCTGCTGTCATCCCCAGAGCACCCGAAACGCTGGGGCCAGGTCAGCGAGGCCTACGTCAGCCTCCTAGGTATGCCTCTGCCTGCCTCCGTCAGGGAAGGGGTGGGAGTGGACGTGCGCCAGGGCCGCGATGCGTCAGATGCTGCTCCACACCCGTTACTGCACATGGCTCTTGTATCGTCTGGGCAAAGAAGGGACTGTTACTCCCACTCTACAGAGGAAAAGAATGGGGCTCAGAGGGGTCAAGTAGGCTGTTCAAGACTGCACAGCTGGTAAGCACTAAGCTAGGATTCCAGCCTGGATCCCACTGCTTTCAAAACCATTGCTTTTCCCCGCCTGGCCCGGATGAGCTTCAGGATCACCTGGGATGCTTGTTAATATCCAGACTGCAACCCCTAGAGTGTCTGATTCAGTAGATTTTGGTGGGGCTCAAGAATTTGCATGTCTGACATGTTCCCAGGTGATGCCGATACTGTGGGCCTGGGGACCCCTTTTTGAGCACCTCTGCACCCCATCCTGCCTTCCTAGGGCACCCAAAGCACCTCATGACCCTGTTCATTTTTTAAAAGCCCTGGGACATCTAGTCCCATGTTATGGACGTGCAGACAAAGATAGTGGTGCAGGAAGACTTTGGGAAGGGCTCGGGGTGAGCCCCTTGGCACAGGGCAGAGGCCCACCGTATCCCGCACACCGCCTGGCAGAGCCTCCAGGAGGGGTGGGCTCGGGCAGCAGCACACTCAGGTTCCCCTTCCCTCCGAGCTCGGCGCCCACATCTCTCTTGGGGCCCACATCTGTCTCTGGCCCCAAAGCATGAGCCGGGAGCACCGAGGCCGCACCCACGGGGTGGGAGTAGACTTCTTTTCTGGTCCGTAGGATTTTAGGAGGATCCTGAATGTCACCGAGTTGGGCCTCTTGCTATGCCATCCGAGGCACTGTGGCCCAGAGAGATGGCTGGCGGTGAGAGGTGTCAGCTGGAAGAGGCATATCCCGCTGCTGATCGGATTGGAGAAGGTAGCCGCCCAGAGCGGCACAGGTTTGGCCCTTCAAGGGCAGCTCCTGTGTGCTGAGGGCTGTGCAGCTCTGAGACGCCGCTTCCCTTCCAGACCTCACGCCCACCATCCTGGACTGGTTCTCCATCCCCTACCCCAGCTATGCCATCTTTGGCTCGAAGACCATCCAGCTCACTGGCCGGTCCCTCCTGCCAGCGCTGGAGGCCGAGCCCCCCTGGGCCACCGTCTTCGGCAGCCAGAGCCACCACGAGGTCACCATGTCCTACCCCATGCGCTCCGTGCACCACCAGAACTTCCGCCTCGTGCACAACCTCAACTTCAAGATGCCCTTTCCCATCGACCAGGACTTCTACGTCTCACCCACCTTCCAGGACCTTCTGAACCGCACCGCAACTGGGCGGCCCACAGGCTGGTACAAGGACCTCCATCATTACTACTACCGGGCACGCTGGGAGCTCTACGACCAGAGCCGGGACCCCCATGAGACCCAGAACCTGGCCGCCGACCCGCGCTTTGCACAGGTTCTGGAGATGCTTCAGGCCCAGCTGTCCAAGTGGCAGTGGGAGACCCATGACCCCTGGGTGTGTGCCCCTGACAGCGTCCTGGAGGAGAAGCTCTCTCCCCAGTGCCAGCCCCTCCACAATGAGCTGTGACCACCCCAGGAGGCCTGTGCACACGTCCCACACACAGCCCTGTGGCGGCCAGCCTGGGGAGCAGTAACGACAGCCCTTCCCTCCACACTCTTGTCCAGGGTGGGTCCTTCCTTCCTGCAGGGTGTCACTCCCGCCAATGCCTGGAGGGGGACCAGAGCGTGTGCTCAGCCCCTCCACCGCCAGGGGCACTGCTGTCATGGCAAGGGACACGGCTGTCTCATGTCTGAACCACGTCCCGGCACTGGAATTGTAGCCATGATCTGAGGACAGGGCAGCATCCCCAGCCCATGACAAGGGGGTCTGTTTTCTGGCTTGGTTTGGGGACCTACAAATGGGAGGCTTGAAGCCTCTTCAGGCTTCGGCACCCACAGATGCTTCTGAGCCCTTCACAGAGGCAGGTGGGGGCTTCGGTGCTGCATGAGCGGCGGGCAGACTGGCTCTTCCCAGCCTCTGGCCTAGCGGAAGCCTTTGAATGACCCTTGGCCAGGTTTCTGCTTCTTCTGTTTTGCCCCACAGTCAAGCACCAGGTCCCCAGGCAGGTTTCAGCTGGTTGGCAGCAGGCTCCCTGAGTGTTGAGTGTTTCTGGGCAGAAGCTTATCTCTTGTGAGAATGTCTGAAGATGAAGGCATGGCGATGCCCCTGTCCTGTGGCTTGGGTTAATTCTTGGGTGACACTGGCACTGCTGGGAGAATGCGCCGTTCCTGCCTTGCCTCTGCCCACCTCGGGAGCAGAAGCTGGGCCTGGACGCCTCTCAAAGGAAAGGGAGCTTCCTTGAGTGGGTGGGCTGCCCTTGGCCTTTCCCCCCTCACTCCATTCTGGGGTGGGCTGGAGGAAGCCACAGGCCAGCTACTGTAAAAGCTTTTTATTTTAGTAAAATATATAGTTCTTTTCCTGAACTCGTTTATGACAATACTGAATTCTAGAACAGCTTCCTGGGTTTCAGACACTGTTGTCTAATGACATTCACTCTGCCACAGTCCCAGGAGGTCGGGCAAGGCCAGGTGCTGGGGGACCTGGGTCCTCCCCTGAGCCCTGGGGGTGGAGTCTCGATGTTTGAGGGCTGGGGTGCAAAGTGAGGTTGGGGGAAGGCAGAGTCCACCGGGCCTTGTACACGGGTGTTGGTGCCAGGCTCCTCCAGGATGCCCCCACTGAACGGGCATGGAGGCCACAGGGCATAGGCCCCCTGAAAGTACTGTCTGTATCACCCAGAAACGTCATTTACAAGTAAACACACTGGCCTCTGTAAACTGGAGTTTGGAGGCATCACAGCCTCAGAAGCTGAGAAAAGGTGGCCAGTTGCATGGCATATGTGGGCTTGTGCCTCTGCCCCGGCAAGGGTGGCAGCAGCCTTGGGGGCCCCCCTGGCTCCCCACCCATTGCCTCTATGCTTTTGGAGCAAGTCTTTGACACATCAAAATGTAAAAGGGAAGTGCAGGCCCACGGATTTGAATCAGGTCTACAGACAGGTGGTTTTGGCCTCCAGCTCTAGGGAAGGCGTGGGAAGATGTCCCTCCTTTGCCACTGCAGAAACATTCTCACGGTCTCCAGTTCAGACCATGGCAAGCCTGGTGACGGGTGAAGATGGTTTCCACGGAAAAGTAAGCAGATACAAGTGGCTTCACCATATGCGTCCTGCACGTGGCGAGGGTTCAAGGTTAGACCCCAGCCAGAGGGGAGAGCTGGCCTCATGTGCCCAGGTGCCCACAGTTCTGCCAGAGGCCCTGTACCCAGAAACAGGACTGCATTCACCGGCACCCAGAGGCCTCCACAGTCCCGGGCCTGTCACTGGGGGCTCTGCTCCGCCCACACCACCTTCTTCTGCTCGTCGGCAATGGCCTGGCGGACACAGCTGAGCAGGCCGTCCACGTCACTCCAGCTGTCGGTAGCCAGAGTACTGTACAGACAAGGCGCCCGGTCCAGGTCTCCTTCCTCCTGCCTGGCAGCCTCCAGGAGCTGCTCCTCCGAGGTGCCCAGCCGCTGTAGGCCCTTCCTGCACAGGCCAGAGACAGAGGGTGGGCTCAGGGGAGGGCAAGGGCCCAGCAGCCCTGCTGAGCTGGTGTTGACATGCACCCAAACACCCCCTGAACACAGGTGGCCTCGCTTTGAGGGGACCTTGTAAAGAAGATGGGGCCCGGGCCCCGGCAGTGGGGTCAGGCTGTCTGGAACGCAGCCTGGGCTCCCGGAGTGGAAAGGGCACAGCAGCAAGACATCGTGGTCTGTCCCCAGTAAACCAAGTAATTTTTTTTTACCTTTTTTTTTTTTTTGTCCTTAGCCAAATAGGGTTAGACTGTACCCCAGTAAGTGCGGAGTGTCAGTGGAGCCGAGGCTGGGTCTGGGTCTGGCCTCACAGTGGTCCTCTAGGCTGCTCTTGGGGAGGGAGTGCCAATGTGTTAATTTACAACTTTAAATTTCAATGATAAAATATCATTTGCCAGTGACTGGGCTACTTTTGCCCACTGCAAAAGGCATCCTCGTCCTGGTATCAAGATTCCTGAGAGGCCAGATTTGAAATCGAGTTTGTTTGGTGAGCATGAAATCAGAGTTGTTTTTTTTTTTTTTGACACAGTGTCACTCTGTTGCCCAGACTCGAGTGCAGTGGCTTGATCTCGGCTCACCGCAACCTCCGCCTCCCAGGTTGAAGAGATTTTCCTGCCTCAGTTTCCCAAGTAGCTGAGATTACAAGTGCCCGCCACCACGCACAGCTAGTTTTTGTTTTTGCTTTTCTTTTGTTTGTGTTTGAGATGTAGTCTTGCTCTGTCACCCAGGTGGAGTGCAGTGGTGTGATCTCCGGCTCACTGCAACTCCTCCGCCTCCCAGGTTCAAGCAGTTCTCCTGCCTCAGCCTCCCAAGTAGCTGGGACTACAGGTGTGCGCTACCATGCCCTGCTAATTTTTGTATTTTTAGTAGAGACAAGGTTTCTCTATGTTGGCCAGGCTGGTCTCGAACTCCTGACCTCAAGTGATCTGCCTGCCTCAGCCTCCCAAAGTGCTGGGATTACAGGCATGAGCCACCACACCCAGCCTAGTTTGTGTATTTTTAATAGAGACAGGGTTTCTCCACGTTGGCCAGGCTGGTCTTGAACTCCTGACTTCAAGTGATCTGCCCGCCTCGGCCTCCCAAAGTGGTGGGATTACAGGCGTGAGCCACTGTGCCCGGCCAAAATCAGAGGAATGTCATGAGCTATCAGCAGGGCCCTTGTCCCAAAGTTGTGTGGAAACTGCCCCATCAGCGCCTCAGGTTCCTAAAAGCCGCAGAGCACACTCCAGAGGCACCTGCCATGGGCTTCTGGGGAGCCCAGGAGCCACTTCAAAGCCCACTGCCCAGCCCCCCACGGGCACCTACTTGAGCTTCTTCGCCATCTTCTCATTGACAGAGATGTGGATGACGATAGGGAAGATGTCCATTCTGTGCAGGGCACAGACACTGTCCAGCCGGACGTCCAGGAGGGCGTGGATGTTCTTTGCGGGAGGGAGAGGGAGAAGTGAGTCAAGATCAGGGGCCTCGGAGGAAGCAAAGGGAGGCTGCACCCAGGTCTGAGGGGCCCTCTGGGCAGGCTGAGGGCAGGAGCTGGGCAGTACTGAATTTTGCAGAGGAGATGGGGGAAGAGAGCTTGCCACTTTCTTCTCTTTTTAGTTTTTTAGTTTTTAATTTCCTTGTAGAGACGGTGTCTCATTATGTTGCTCAGGCTGGTCTCCAACTCTTGGGCTCAAGCAATCTTCCTGCCTAGGCCTCCCAAAGTATGGACATTACAGGCATGAGCCACCCTGCCCGGCCATTTTCTTCTTTATTTATGAGATGGAGTTTTGCTCTTATTGCCCAAGCTGGAGTGCAATGGCGCAATCTTGGCTCATTGCAACCTCTGCTTTCTGGGTTCAAGCAATTCTGCCTCAGCCTCCTGAGTAGCTGGAATTACAGGTGTGTGCCACCACAGCCCGGCTGATTTTTTGTATTCTTAGTAGAGACGGGGTTTCACCATGTTGGCCAGGCTGGTCTTGAACTCCTGACCTCAGGGATCCACCCACCTCAGCCTCCCAAAGTGCTGGGATTATAGGCGTGAGCCACCATGCCTGGCCCTCTTTTAATTTTTTAATTTTTTTTAGTTAAAGTTTTTCTATTGAGAGATGGGGGTCTCACTGTGTTGCTCAGGCTGGTCTCAAACTCCTGGGCTCAAATGATTCTCCCCCCTTGGCCTCACAAAGTGCTGGGGTTACAAGTGCGAGCCCCTGGGTCTGACCAAGTTTGCCACTTTCTAAATAAGGCTGCTTGCTGTGCAGTCTGTAGAGTTTCCATCCCTTTGATTTTTCACTGGGAAAATCTAGAAACTGAGCTCTGGGGACTGAGGTGGACTTGGCATGGAGCTCTGCCAGCCCCTAGGGAGATACCCAGATGCCAGGCCCTGCTTCCTATGCCTGTGCAGACACAGCTGTGGGCCACGGAGAACTGCTTTTCATGCGTTTGTCTGCACTGTCGAACATGGAGCGTGTTGTTATTTGGGATCTATTCATTCTCAGACAAATACCTATGAAACACTCCCCCCCGCAGCTGAGGAAACTGAGGCTCAAGCAGCTGGGAGGCTTCACCCACAGTCATGTCGATCTTAACTGGCTGAGATGAGGTTTGGGCTACTGCTGGCGTATTGGGGCCCAGAGGTCGGTGACAAGGTCACCAGGTCTCAGGTCAGTCCCTGTACCTTTATCTCATCCCCCTCCTCTGCCTTCCCGAAACCCTCCCCAGGACAGCTCCCCTACCCATCCCCGTTTGCCCTCACCTTTTCCATGAGGGACTCCACAGCATGGCGGGTCACCCAGCAGTGGCCCCCGGACACCTCTCCCTCCTGGACGATGTCCCCTCTCTGGCTCCAGGCCTCATATTCCTCCTGGCTCAAGTACTCTGCAGATGACATCGGACAGGGCCCTCATACACCAGCTGCGTGGGGGTCCAAGGGAGTCCCACGGTAAACACCCCCATCACCGGGCCCCCTGCCATCCCTGGGAGAAGCTCTTCCTAGGGTGTCCACTTTACACACCTGGCTCTGCACACCCCGCTCTGTGCCCTGCACCTCCATCCTGAACTATCTGGACAGAGCAGGTGAGCGTGGGAATGTGCACTGTGGGAAGGGGAAGGAGATGAAGGTAGAGGAGGGAGGGAGGGAGGGAGGGGTGAAGGAAGGGACTGGAGGAGGGGTGGAGGGGAGGAGGGGTTTCCAGGTAACAGTATACCTGCCAGGCACTTCTTAAACCCTTGGAGGAGGCACAGCTTCTCGCTCAGGATCTTCCCAACCACCCTGGGCACGAAGAGCACAGGCCGGGGCCCGGCGGGACGATGCGGGCGCACCAGTGTGTAGGGCACCAAGGTGAAGCAGCTCTCAGCCCAGAAGCATGTGCTGGAGTCTGCAGAGGAGGGGAGCCAGGGGGTGGGGGAGGCTGCCACAGCCTGGGCCTGCTTTGCTCACTGCGGCAGCCCCAACACCTAGAGTGCCAGGGTCACAGGCTCAGCGGTCACAGGACTTGGTCTGAGTGCCACAGCCCCGGCAGAGCGGCTCCTTTGCACGTGCGTTACACAGCTCTGTGGCTCTCCACGCGCCACTTTGCAGCCTGCAACTTAATCCCAGTTTCTCTAGGCCCCAGGGAGGATGGCAGGAGCCAGGGTTTTCTTCCTTCCAAAGAATCTGGGAGAGCAGCACCCTTCTCCTCAGCCATCCTTGGGCACAGGATTCAGCCCTCCCTCTGTCCTGGGCCCGTGTACTCCTCTCCTGAACTTTTTTTTTTTGAGATGGAGTCTCGCTCTGTCGCCCAGCCTGGAGTGCGGTGGGGTGATCTCAGCTCACTGCAACCTCTGCCTCCCGGGTTCAAGTGATTCTCCTACCTCAGCCTCCTGAGTAGCTGGAATTAGAGGTGTGCACCACTACACCCAGTTAATTTTTGTATTTTTAGTAGAGGCAGGGTTTCACCATGTTGGCCAGGATGGTCTCAAACTCCCAACCTCAAGCGATCTACCCACCTTGGCCTCCGAAAGTGCTGGGATTACCCTTCGGGACTGGGGGTTTTTTTGTTTTTGTTTTTTTGGGTTTTTTTTTTTTTTTTTTGGACTATTCTGTTGCCACAGATTACAGAAGTAGGACTTACAGGGCTTTAAAGATGGGTAGCTCAGTCGCTGTCCAGAAATGCATGTGGATGTCAACCATGATTCTTAAAGAGCAGATCCTGGCCTAAATGAGTGGCCTCCCCCTGCCCCAGCAGACCAACTAGCAGCAGCTCCCAAAGCCCCTTGCCCACTTGGAGCCAGCGGCCCCTGTGCCAGCTCACCAGGCCTCACCCTCCATCCTGCTGGAGTCCGACTTGCCCCTGTCAAAGGACAGACACAGAGGGCTGGCCTTGGCTTTGTCCATACTGACGATGCGGACCAGCTTCTGGGGTCCCCCGGAAGATGGCTGAAGGAGGGACGGAGAAGGGAGGAGGAGGAGCTGTCAAAGCCATCAATACGGGCCCAGCAGCCCCCTGTCCTGACACCCACCACACCAGCAAATCCAGTGTGGTCTCTGCACCATCAGACTGTGCCCACTGAACAGCCAGGATGCCCAGAGCCTCTGCCAGGGGGTTTGGGGATGTGAGGAGTCCTCAGGTTGACAGTCCCAAAGCAGGGCCCTGCAGTGAGGGGTGGCCTGCCAAGGCAGGAGGAAGGACAGAGGTCTCCCCCGTGCCCAGCCCCGCATCATCCTGGGGAACTGGCTGAGCCCCCTTCCGTGGTTCTTTCCCCCGTGCCCAGCCCCAATTCTGGGGAACTGGCCGAGCCCCATTCCGTGGTTCTTAGCAACCGCACGGACAGGTCGGTGCTTAGCAACCTGCCAAGTGTCCTGTGTCTGGAGAACACAAAGACGCCTGGCGAAGAGGAGGGGGAATTCAGGGAAGATGACTGTCACTAGGGTGCCCTGGGAGTGATGCAGAAACACGGCTGCTCTGAGAGCACCACAAGATATGCTATACCCATGCAAGAGCCTGCAGGCTGGCTGGGGGCCGCAGACTTGTCCTGGTTTGGAGGGGCCCAGAGGAGAGACAGGCGGAGTCATCCTCCTCCAATTGGCATCCCACACTCTCCACATGGTACCCCTGCCTTCCTGCCAGCACTGTTTCCCTCTTCCAACTCACCCCAGGGGGCCAGGACCCTCCCTGGGGCCTCACCTTGCGGGTGACTGTGCACTGCTGAGTCATGTCTTGGATGAGGGCTATGAGCTGCTGCTGAGCCCTGCACAGACCAGGAGAGGTCCTGTCCCAGCTGCCTCCTGCCAGGAGAGCCGAGCAGGGGAGAGCTGGGCAGGGGAGAGCTGGGCAGGGGGGAGCAGGGCGGGGGGAGCTGAGCAGGGGAGAGCCGGTCAGAGGGGTGCGTGGCAGGGGGAGCGGGGCAGGGGGGTGTGGGACGGGGCGAGTGGGGCAGGGGAGAGCTGAGTAGGGGACAGTGGGGCAGGGGACAGCAGGGCGGGGGAAGTGGGGGAAATGGTTGGGTGGGAGAGGAGGCGCTCCACCTAGAGCTCCAGACACCCCGTTACCCCGTTGCTCCACCCTGGCAGCCATCACAGTCTCCAGAGCTTTCCAAAGGCTGCAGGCCCTGAGCCCACCCCTGGAGATGCTGATTCACTTATCATGGGGTAGGACCCAGGGGATGCTGATGAGCAGCCAGCATGCAGGCCCCTGCTCCCGAACCTCACTATTTACAGTGGGTCCGTGGCCTGCAGCCTGGAGTCACCGAGAAAGCTGTCAGAAATGCAGAGTGCCAGCCCTCTCCCAGGACCTGCTGGCTCTGATCCCCAAGGCACTTGAGTTTGCAACAAGGATTGGGGATGCACTGAGCATTCTGCACACTTGAACCTTGGAGCCTCCCGTAGGCCGATCGAGAGCAATCGTTTTCAATGGAGTAGGGCAGGAGGCAATGTCACTCCCCGGAGAGGGTCACCAGCTGTCCCTGCTTGCCCAGGACTGAGGGGCTCCCTGCATGTGGGGCTTTCAGTGCTCAGACCAAGACAGTCCTAGGAGGACCAGGGGACCCTTGGTAACATAGGGAGACATTTCTGGTTGTCACAAATGGGGCGTGGGAGTGCTCCCGGCATCCTGTGTAGGAAGGCCCCAGTACAGGCAGGGATCAGCCCCAAACATTATGGTACCAAAGCTGAGAAACCCTGATCTAGAAAGTTCCAGAATGAACATTTCATTTGCAAGAGATAAAGCATCCGGCCGGGCGCAGTGGCTCACGCCTGTAATCCCAGCACTTTGGGAGGCCGAGGCGGGTGGATCATGAGGTCAAGAGATCGAGACCACCCTGGCCAACATGGTGAAACCCCGTCTCTACTAAAAAAATACAAAAATTAGCTGGGCGTGATGGTGCGTGCCTATAGTCCCAGCTACTGGGGAGGCTGAGGCAGAATTGCTTGAACCCGGGAGGCGGAGGTTGCAGTGAGCGGAGATTGTGCCACTGCACTCCAGCCTGGAACCTGGCACCTGAGCAAGACTGTCTCAAAAAAAGAAAAGAGAAAAAGTATCCATCACACAAAAAACACCATCTTCAGCAGTGATCTTGGCAGGTTCCCCTCCATAGGGGGATCTCACCACAACCACCCTCTATTCCCGGGCAGGAGGAGGAAGCCGAGGCAGGCTGGGCCCCGTTTCCCCATGGGCTTCTCTGGGGACATGCCAGGCTCTGGGAAGCTGCTCACCGGGAGTAGTTGGGGATGGTGCCGTGGCCCGCGGCATCCTTCATGGTATAGGGGTTCACGCGGTGGGCGTGCCAGCAGCTGTGGCCCTGGAACATGGTGTCGGTGACGTGCAGGACCTCATTGCAATGCACCTGCAGCTCCCCCTTGGCCCTCCCCTCCATGGCCAGGTTGACCCGGATGTAGAAGGAATCCCCTGAGGTCACCACTTTGGCCTCCAGGTCCTGGAGGAGTCTCTTATAACCTGATAAAAGGGAACATGAGCCACAAATGAGCTGGGGATGCAAGCCCCCCCTCGAAGAAGATTGCAGAACATGAAAGTCAGAAAGAAGGAAGGACCCTGCCCCAGCCTCAGACGCCACTCTGGCGCTGGAGTCAGTGAGTGGGATGTTTCCCGGGGACCTGGGGCACAGCCTGGCTGATCCTCTCCTGGACCCTGGGTGCTGGGCATGCAGAGAAGCCAGGGACCTAAGGGTCACGGAGACTGGCCAGGCAGCTGTGCACTCGAGAGGGGTGGCGTGTGTACCGTCCATGTTGACCTTCACAGACAGGCAGCAGAAGCCGTCCACCCTCCCGAGAAGCCCCACGGCCTGCTCCAGGGTTGTGTCCTCCAGGACTGCCTTGAACAAGGGCTCTGAGGCTTCGTGATCAACCTGAGGGCAAGTCGAGAAGGTCAGTCTCTTTCCCCCAGGACTCTGAATCCAGCCGGGACACGAGGACATTCAGGGCACTGAGGCGAGGCCTGCACGCCTTGACTAACACAAAGCTGCACGACAGAGCCTCTGTGGGGTCTTCCAGCCTCTCCCGATGCATGCTACACACATTCCTGGCCAGAGAGTCAACTGCCAACCCTTCCCCAACCCTTCCACTGCTGAGGTCAGGATTTCTTGGTGATAAGCACTTTCCTCTCTTGAAAAAAAAAAAGGAAGGACCTCAGTTCTAGAGCATTCAAGAGCATTCTAGATAGGGGTTTCTCAGCCTTGGGGGCATATTGTGTTGCTGCAGGCTGTCGTGAGCCCTACGGGCTGCTGAGTGGCATCCCTGGCCTTCACCCCCCAATGCCATGGCTCTCCCGCCCACAGCCTGCCCCACCGTGAAGGCCCACCCTGCGGGGCTTCCACCATCCACTTCATTTGTTTTCAACATTGTTCTAAGCTTGGATGAGTAGATATTTTTTACGATACAAAATTAAGTTGTGTTTTAACACCATTAAAACTGAATTGGTCCCCTTAGGATCCTGGGACTATCTCCCTGAACATCGTAAAGGTGCCCTGTTTCTTGAGCTACCACATGGCTGGTAACTGGGAAACCTTACAGCAGGGGTCCCCAATTGCTGGGCCACAGACACGTACTGGCCCTGGTCTGTTAGGACCCCAGCCACACAGCAGGAGGGGAGGGGTGGGCAAGTGAGCATTGCTGCCTCAGCTCCACCTCCTGTCTGATCAGCACAACATTGGATTCCCACAGGAGCCTGGACCCTACTGTGAACAGCGTGTGTGAGGGATCTAGGTTGTGTGCTCCTTATGAGAATCTAACGCCTGATGATCTGTCACTGTCTCCCGTCACCCCCAGATGAGACCATCTGCAGGAAAACAAGCTCAGGGCACCCGCTGATTCTGAATTATGATCATTTCATGATATATTACAGTGTAATAATAATAGAAATAAAGGGCACAATAAATTGTGAACTCTCCCCAAACAATCTCCCCCTCCCTGGTCTGTGGAAAAGTTGTCTTCCATGAAGCCAGTCCCTGGTGCCAAAAAGTTTGGGGACTGCTGATGGTTAGAAATGCAAGGAAGGGCTGGACATGGTGGCTGACACCTGTAATCCCAGCACTTTAGGGGGCTGAGGCTGGTACATCACTTGAGGTCAGGAGTTCGAGACCAGCCTGGCCCACGTGGTGAAACCCTGTCTCTACCAAAAACACAAAAATTAGCCAGGCGTGGTGGCACACACCTGTAATCCCAGCCACTTGGGAGGCTGAGGCATGAGAATCGCCTGAAACCAGGAGGTGGAGGTTGTGGTGAGCTGAGATTGTGCCACTGCACTCCAGCCTGGGCAACAGAGTGAGACTCCGTCTCAAAACAAAAAAAGAAAGAGAGAGAAATGTAAAGAAGGGCTTTCTGGGTTGAGTGGAGGGGAGACCACAGGAGGACACTTGCATTAGGAGCTCCGTGTGCTACTGTTCAAGCCCTGGGGGAGCTCAGCATTTGGACAGCCTGTTCCAAGGGGGCAGCGAGGGGTGCACGGAACACTCCTGTCACTGTCTCCCGTCAGCCCCAGAGGAGACAAGGGGTTCAACCCCATCCTCTCCCCTCCTCTGTGCTCACCTTCCCACCCCACACCCCCCATCCCCCGTCCCCTCCTGGGGGCCACACAGTGAGCCTCTGGGATAAGGTGAAGCCCATCTTGCATATTTCTTGGTTTAAACTGTTTTTCATATGAAGAAAGCACCGGGCTTTCCTTTTCTTTCTTTTTTTTGAGGCAGGGTCTTGCTCTGCCGCCCAGGCTCGAGTGCAGCGGTGCAATCATAGCTCACTGCCGCCTCCATCTCCTGGGCTCTGCCATCTGAGTAGCCAGGACTGTAGGCATGCACCACTGTGCCCAGAAGTATTTTCTTTTCTTTTCTTTTTTTTGAGACAGAGTCTTGCTCTGTCACCCAGGCTGCAGTGCAGTGGCCTTGGCTCACTACAACCTCTGCTCCCCAGGTTCAAGTGATTTTCCTGCCTCAGCCTTCTGAGTAGGTGAGATGACAGGCATGTGCCACCACACCCAGCTAACTTTTGTATTTTTAGTAGAGACAGGGTTTCACCATGTTGGTCAGGCTAGTCTCAAACTCCTGACTTCATGATCCACCCACCTCGGTCTCCCAAAGAGCTGGGATTACAGGCGTGAGCCACCTCATCCAGCAAACTAT